GAGGAAGGAAGAGAAAGATAGAAACATCAACAAGGAGAGAAAATCATGGATCGCTGCCTCCCACACACTCCCTACTGGGATCGAGCCAGTAACCTGGGCTGCGCCCTGACCAGGAATCAAACCGTGACCTCCTGGTTAGTAGGTCGAAGCTCAACCACTGAGCCATGCCAGCTGGGCAGCAGGTCCTCATTCTTTCTCGTGGGCTCCAGGTAGGCTCTGTCCTTGTCTTTCTAGCTTCTGGAGGCACCTGAAGTCCTTGGCTCATGGTTCCCTTTCTCTATCTCCATCAGCTCCAGAGCCAACAAGAGCAAGTCCTTCCCAGGTCACATCCCTGGACCCCTATGGCTTGCCTCAGCCACTTTTAAGGACCCTTATAGTAACATTGGGGTCGCCCAGGTAATCCAGAATAATCTCCCATGTCAGCTGTTAGCAAAACCTTCATTTCATCTGCAGCTCTAATTCCCATTGCCATGGCAGGGAAGGTAGTCACAGGCACCAATGGTTAGATGAACCTTTTGGCGGGGGAGGGGCAGGATGCATTACTCTGCCTTCCACATACACTACGTCAAGTTTCTGGTCTTAATAAATTGTCCTTGGTTATGTAAAAGGTTATCAGTGGAGAAAGCTGGATTAAGCGTACACAGGGTCTCTGTACTATTTTTGCAACTCTTTCGTGAGTCTAAAAGATTTTCAAAATAAAAGTTTATACATTTAAAAAACATGTTTAAAAACATTTGCATTTTTTTGAGGATTAGGTAGAAATATATAGAAATTGCTTATAGGAATTAGTCTATAACAAAATAAATCAAAATAGGGTTATTTAACTTCTAAAATAATAACAATGTAATAAATAGTAAGTAAAGGTCACATTCCTTACTCAATTAAAAGTAATTCAGTCAAGATTTATTGTTTTATGGCTAAAAACACATTTATAATAACTAAATAAGATGGGTACTATCTAGGTGTTTGTTTGTTTTTAAAATAAAACACTGTCCATACTTGACTAAGTACCAGTAGACTACATATCCCAATTTAATTTAATTATGGTTGATAGAAATTACACTTTTTAAAATATTTATGTGTGCACAACACTTTCCAAAGAAAAATCCAACTACTTAATAGAGTTGGACAATAGCTATCCAGAAGGAATAAATAGCTTGTAATGTACACACAAATAAATTCCAGGTAGATTTCAGTGCTAGATATGGAAAGCATAACATTAAGACTTTGGAAGGAAGAATAATTTTATTATTTGAAGGGGAGAATATTATCTTAGAAAATAGAGAACACAAGCTGAGCTTGAAACCAGCCATCCCTGCCCTTTCTGTAGGACGGAGGAGGTCACGGCATGTGCTGCCATTGGGCTTTTGGCTGTTTTTGCTGAATGGGAGTCACTGACGGGAAATCTAAGGACAGAGGGGAAGGGAGGATGGGATGGTGTCTGTGTCCCTGGGCAATAGGCTACAGCTCCTATCAGCCCTCCTTCTCCTCCAGCCCTTCTAGTGCTCCAGGCTTAGCCTCCTACTTCCTGTCTTCTCTTCTAGGAGTGGTTGCTGTTACTTACCCTTGGGAACACTGCTCTGTCCCTTGTTGGTTTCTCCAAACCCTGGTCACCTCTTTGTAAATTGTCCCAAACAATTTCATGAGTTTGAGTCTATCACACGTTTTTGTTGAAGACTCTAGCTGGTAAATCAAGGTCCATGCATGCTCTCCCAAATGGCAGGATTTCCTTCTTTTTTGTGTGGCTGAATCATATTCTCTTCTCTCTACACAGATCATAGATAGGCACATCGATAGATAGAGACAGACCACAACTTCTTGATCCACTTATCTGTCAATTTATCTGACCCTCAGGTTGCTTCCACGCCTTGGCGACTATCAACGAGGCGTCCAGATCTCTTCAACATTGTATTTTTGTTTCTTTCAGGCAAACTCCCCGAAGTGGGCTTGCTGGGGGATGTGGTAGTTATATTTTTAAATTTTTGAGGATCCTTCATCCTATTTTCCATAGCAGCCGCACCAACTTATCTTCCCACAAACAGTGTACAAGGACTCCCTTTCCTCACTTCCGCTCCAGCGTGGGTCATTTCCTGTCCTTCTGGGAATAGCCATTTTGATAGGCAGGAGGTAATATCTCGCTGTGGTTTTATTTGAATTTCCTTGAGGATCAGTTATGTTGCCCATCTCAGAAATAATAATTGATAAAGTGTTGGGAAAGAGATAACAGAGTGGGACAGCTGTTTTTCTATTTCTTTCTGTAAATGTTGGGGGTAAATCAATAGGAAATGCAAGAAACAACAAATACGTACTTTTTAACAGTCATACAGACCCTTTTCTTTTTCAGTAATTTAATCGTCCATATTTCTCAATGTGGAGGTTAGGACTAAGCTAGTGCTTGTACATGAAATAGCATTATTCCAAGTCACCCCATCTCCGATAGTCTGCACCTTTCCGCAGGCTGGGAGGTAGCGGTACGCTCTCGCAATAGGTGTGTTTTCCCAAAACCTTCACATTTGCCTAAAGCAGTGCTACTGCTCTTGCTGCCTCACTTTTGTTTAATGAGAGCCACTGCCCTCCTAATGCCAAGGTCGGGTGCATGGACTGAGAGGGAGGAAATCTAAAGGACCTCTCCGTTCCACCCTGATTGCCTTTCTGCCTTGTGGGTGTAATCATTCAGTCCCACTCACATCTGCCAGGATAGCACTCAGGGGTTTTCTATTGCCTGCTTGCCCAGGAGGCTGAGTCAGGGGGTGGCCACAGCTTCTGCAGGAAGGAAGGGCGAGTTCTTACTTCTCTCCCAACATCCTAGGTAACCCCCTTCTGCAACCCCCTGCCCCTATCCAACACCCCCTCCCCCTGCCCAGGACTGCTTTCAGCTTTCACACCCACCCTCCCCCAGGTCTGTGGCTCTGTTCTGATTTACATGTTTTCTTTTACTCTCTCTCCTCTGGGATAAGTGTTAATTACGTAGACAGATTGTAAAAGTCTCTTTCTTCTTGCAAACAGCTATTTTTTCCTTAGTGGTGGGTTTTGTTTAACTTCCTCCTGCCTGAATGTTCAGTGTGCCCAGGGATTAGCTGGCCATTGTTTAGCATGAGCATCAGGCAGAGAGAGGGCAGACTTCATCCAAGCTCCCCTTGAGGGAGTCAGGCCTGGAATCTCCAATGGCACATCTCCCTCAGGAATCGATTCTCGTCCCATGAGCTTGGAAAGCCCATAATGCTTTAGTCGAGAATCACGATAAGAGCAAAATATCTCTTATCAAACCAGCTGTGTTTTTTCTTCTACTTATGTATGTTATGAGCTTCCCCTACTGCCCATATCAAGAGATGCTTGGCATTGTGGAAAGCACTTGCGGAAGTGTGTGCCACGGCCCCATGCGAGGGGAACTGAGTGGATTCCAGAAAGCTCCCGGTGATGTGAATAGCCACTGCTCCTCCAGAGCCTTCCGTGGAAAATACGAAGGAAATGTGCTTGTGATGTGCCTCCTTTGGCCGGTGAATTTGTTGTTTTTTCTAATCAGGAGATTAGATTGTTCCCAGACATTCACTCCCACTTCTGACCTCAGACATAACCTTGAAGGGCTGGCGTTTGTGTGACAATTGGTTTTGCCAAGAATAGCTAACTATTATCCTTCCACCAGCCTAGCAGTTCCCCACAGTGGTTTTTCCTTTGCCTGACACCTCTTTAGAAGGCTGTCAGTGTCCCCCGAAGCTTTGGAGGGATGATGGAAGGCATGGGGGGAGAAAGAGAAGAATTTTAACCCAGCAGCGTGAGCTGTGCTGAGTCTTCCCATTAAGGAAAACGTGGCTAGGCTTCTCTTCCAAAGAGGGTGTGGTCTGTGCCAAGCAGCAGCGCCCAGGGCTTTGGCCAGCCTTAGAGGCAAAGCCACGACCTTGGCCTCATTAACCAGGCAAACTGGTGAGCTCATGTTTGCTTGGCAGTTCACAGGGCTTCTGAACTCAGGTTTCCGCCAGGGAAAACTGGTATCTGATACAGGATGGTGTGCGTGTGCTTATTGTTCCTAAGGAGATGTTTACATTTTCATTAGATTCTCAAAAGTGGGCACAACTTTTTTTTTTTTTTAAGTTGAGACTACACTAAATGAAAGTATTCTAAAACAAAGTCATTTCAATATTTTTAAATAAAATAAGCGTTTATTCCTGTGGTCTATGTCTATCACCTGTGGTCTATGTCTATTCTCATGTTATTATGAAAGACATCCCTGAACTCTGGCCTTTTATTTTTTTTAAATATATTTTTATTGATTTTAGAGAGAGGAAGGGAGAGAGAGGGAGAGAGAGAGAGAAACATTGATGAAACACTGGGGATGAGCCCACAACCCAGACCTGTGATGTGCCCTGACTGGGAATGGAACCATGCCCTGCTAGTTCATAGGTCAACGCCAACCACTGGCCAGGCTGACCTTTTCATATTTACCCCTCTATGCCCTTAGGTGATATTAAACATGCCCTGTAAGCTGTAGAAATCTATTACTTGGGCATGAGAAGGAAACTGTCATTGACTGTATGTCTGAGTTTCATATATCTCTGAGACATGAGGGTTTCCCCTTTATTCCCTGGCATGTCTTTGGAAACGCAATCCATTCACGGTGGAGGTAGATGTCAGGTGGCCCGCACCCTGCATTCCTCTCGGTAGAAGAGGCCTGTGACTGGCCACGCTGCCCCACTACGTGCTGGGGTGCTCCTCATGAGCTGCGGGCAGTAGGTCATGGCTAAGAGCACGCAGACCCTGGAGCAGGCCCCGCTGGAGCCCCGTGGCTCCTGTCCCCAGCGCAGAGACCTCTCTCTAATCCTCCAGCGTGGACAACGCACAGACACAGCGTGCTTGGGGAGAAGTGTCACCACAAAGTCACATGTGGGTGTTGATCATTGCAGGTCATTTCCCCAGACAAGCGCTCCAGAGAAGAGGCGGCTGCAGCTCGGGACGGACACCATGCAGGCTGCAGCGGGGAGGAGGAGCGCCGCCATCTGAGGGCCATGCGACCCCAGGGGGTCTTCCTCTCGGTGCTGATGTTCGGGGTGGCCGGGCTGCTCCTCTTCATGTACCTGCAGGTGCGGATCCAGGAGCAGCACGCAGGTAAGACGGGCCGGCCCGGTAACCGCAGTGCCATTGCCACTCAGTGAGGCGATGGGCACAGACAGGGGATGCCATGAGAGCAGCAGACATGAGAGGCAAGCTGGGTCCCCCGCTCTGGAGAAGGGCGGGTACACATTCAGCAGCATTCGCCTGGTGGCTGGGGACACCGGACTTTTTGTGACCCAGGTGGGCCAGCAGCCAGGCCAGGACTGAGCTCACAGGGAACTTGTCTACCCAGATGGTTGGCTTTTATACACCTAGGTGCGTCTGCTAAGCCTGGCGCATAAGCCAAAAGGGAGTGGAATTGCAGCAAACTCTCTCAGTTCCTTCTTAATGTTTGTGTTGATACTCAACATGGATGTAGAAATTCTTTACTGCCTCAACTCTAAAGCAGGGTTTGGCAAGCCTTTTCTATAAATGAATGGTTAGAAAATATTGTAAGCTTTATAAGCCGTATGGTCTGTATCATAACCACTTAACTCTGCCAGCGCATCTGGAAAACAGCCTTAATTTATATGTAAACAAATGGACCAGATTGTTGTATTCTGATAAAACTTATTTACAAGAGTAGGTGGTGGGCCAGACTTGGTCCAAAAGCAGTGGTCTGCTGATCCCTGCTATACGTAGTCATTATTCTCGTCACTCAGTTTGTAATTACTGCACATTGGAGGTATTCGGTTACTTTAGAGTGGATTACGTTGATGATGATAATAGGAAATGGAGTGTGCTTATAATGACGAAAGGAAATGTTTTAGAGCAGTGTTTCCCAAAGTGTGGTACGTGTACCCCCAGGGTTACGGGAAGAGTTTGGTGGGGGTGTACGTGTTGCACCAAAGTTTGGTGGGGATATGCACTGCACTGTGCTTAGCTGCACCTAATTCTAGGTTCTCATGAGTATGAGGGGTACTCAGCATTATGAAAATTATAGAAGGGGTACACATATGTCAAAAGTTTGGGAACACTATTTTAGAGCATCATATATTATATACATATGTATGTATGTGTTTGTGTGTGTGTGTGGGGGGGTGAAATTCCATTGTTTTTCTGTTAGTAGAAATAGATGATGGCTTATGATTGTTAAAGGAAATAAAGTAAAAACAGAACAATTTCTTAATTCCAGTTGTAAAAATTATTCTGGTTTTAATGTCATTAAGAACCTACTCTGAAAGATAATTCAATATTGGATCACTTATATGACCATTATAAAAGTGGTTTCTATTTTTAAATACTGTTCCTTGGTTAATCCTCAGAGGATTTATTTAATTTATTTAGTAACCCTTAGGGAAAGGAGTTGTATATGATTTCCTAGACAATATGTAACATGTTGCCAAAAGTCATTCTTAATTCCCATTACAATTTACATAAATTATAATATCATCTGTTTTCTATATTGCTACAGTAATTTATCCAAATAACTTATAATATGTAATGAAACCATCTGTGATGAAATATATAGGCTAATTCCTTCTGCAATACAACTTCTGGCACAGATCTCACATAGTCAACCTTCAGTGGGTGTTTGCTGAATGAGTAAATAAAAGAATTATTGACTAGATTTAACACTTCTGGCAGCACGCAGACTAGAATGCTTAGAGGAGAAAAAACTTAAGAGATATCATTATTGGGAGGTTGGCTAATGCCATAGTCTCATGACATATTTCACAACAAGTCTCCTCTTGATGCAAAAGAAAATATGTTCATATGGACAGGCTAGTGGAGAAGCTATGACGTAGTCACGTCAGTAAGAAACGACACGGTATTTGAAGAAACAGTCAAGCCAAATGAGTTTGTTCACAAGCAAAGGTAGCTACCACTCATTGAAAGCTTAGAAAGTCCTGAATACTTACATAAATTTTCTCTAATCCTAATGATGTGTGAATAGGTTTGATATCTACGTGTAGAGATGAGGAAAATGAGGCTCAGGCAGAACTTACCCAGGGCCTCACATGTGTAGGGAAATCTGCACCTGGTTTGGTTTGTGCTGCTTCGAAGCCCATGACTCTGTCCCCCACCGGCCTTCTGGGAGGGGAGAGGGTGAATAATGTTACCCCCTTGGTCGGCAGGCCACTGGTGGTTCGTGAGGTCTGAAAGGTTGACGACCACTGCCCTAGACTACAAATACAAGCAGCTGAGACTCAGAAACTTTAAGTGGTTTGCTCAAAGCTAAGAGTTTTCAAAAGGTGACCCATGCTCTGATTTTACTACTTCTCAGGAGCCCTGAAAGAGCTTCACTAGGAAGTGGACTAGATAAACATATAACAAATGCCCAAGTATTTTTTAAAATATATTTTATTGATTTCAGAGAGGAAGGGAGAGGGAGAGAGAAACATCAATGATGAGAAAGAATCATTGATCAGCTGCCTCTTGCACACCCTACTCTGGGTATCGAGCCCACAACCCAAGCATGTGCCGACCAGGAATTGAACTGTGACCTCTTGGTTCATAGGTCTACACTCAACCACTGAGCCACGCTGGCCAGGCTAAATGTCCAAGAATTAGTGCAGATGGTTTTGAATCACTGATTTGGTACCCTTCACAAGTTTATAGATTTATAACCTCTTGGTAAAGTTGGATCCTTAACTGAGTTCATCATTTTTCCAAGTTGGGAAATTATTTTCCCTAGTTCACTATGGGCTGGTAAAATATTTACCATTTATTGTCTTCATTTTTATTTGTAATGTGCTAGAAGTACTTTCTCTGATTCTCTATGTCTGTTAAGTGAATTACCTACTATTTCACAATCTATTCATGACAGTGAGTATAAACTTGAGGCCAGGATTCCTTTAGATGATTCTTTTACTGAAGAAAAGTTTTATTTTTCTTCACAAAGACTTCCAGGTAGAGTTCTGCCCTCAGCCAGGCTAGTACCCGAGTGGCGATTCTGGTGTTTTCCAGGTAGATGGGCGCATGTGTGTTTTACATGTGTTTCAAGTTACACTAAAAGCATCAAACATCATTCAGGGCAGTGTCTCTTAAGTCAAAAGATATTCGATTGGATGCTTTGATGTGAACTTAAAAATGAGAAAGTCTATCTTTTGGTCGCTTTATAAATTGCACTTAAAGAAGAGATGACTTGGTTTTGGGTCCTGAGACCTTACATGAGAAGCATAGATTTAAAAATCTGAATGGTTTTGATTTCTTATACATATCAGTTGAATATGAGAACTTGTAAGCCCTTTTCATATGTTTTATTTAAGGCCTTTAAAATCTAATAAGATGTGGATTATTTTCTATGTTTTCCTAGTTTTTATGGGTTCTCCTGTTAAAATAAATTGCTTTAGAATTACAAAAACAACTCTTAAATATGCTCTGATACGCTAGTATAAATATTATGAATACACAAGACTTTTGGAGGTGAAGAGGAAAAATGTACAACAGAGAAATTAAATTCTACCCAATTATACAACAGAGAGTTCCATAATAACAGCCATTTTTCAGTGCCATCATCAGTTAATCTATGCGTTTCTTTGTGCTAATTTTCAGTATGTGATGTATTATTATGAATTTCATTTTGTACCGTTTTTTTTCTAGTTATTAAGAGTACAAGTGTTACATTCCGAGGAATCTTGAAAATCTCAATTCCCCTTGTCCACTGTGTGGCCCTAGGCAAATTGGCATCTCTAAGCCTCAGTTTCCTCCCCTGAAAATGGGAACAATACGCTTCCACCTCGGGTTACAATGAGGACTCAGGAGACAGTGCCCACAAAGCACGCCGTGGTGTCCGCACACACAGCCCAGGGTACAGAGCAGATCAGCTTCTCCTGAGTTTCTCAGCTCGAGTCTCAGGAGAACACCAGCCGCAGAGCCCAGTGGCTGAGCGTCCACCTCTGAACCAAGAGGTCTCGGTTCGATTCCCGGTCAGGGCACAGGCCCTGGTTGTGGGCTCCATCCCCAATGAGGGGGGTAGGAGAGGACATGCAGGAGGCAGCCGATCCATGATTCTCTCCCATCATTGATGTTTCTCTCTCTTTTCCCTTCTTCCTTCCTCTCTGAAATCAATATAAATATATATTTAAAATAATTTCAGAAAACAATTCCAAGCCTAGGCCTTAACTGATTAAGAAAATAATAAAAGGCTCTGGCCTGGGCTGGGCTGTCATTGGAAGAATCTAAGGGGCACAGTGTGGAGCTGGAAGGGGTGCCAGGATGGGGTGCAGAGAGCAGAGCTAGGCCTGAGGGATCCCATGTCCTCACAAGCTGAGCCAAACCAGTTTCGGCGAGTTCTTTATGTACTTTGGATATTAGTCCCAATGAGGTATATGGTTTACAAATATGTTTCCCATTCAGTAGGTGGCCTTTTCTATTTGTTGGTGGTTTCATTTGCTGCCCAGAATATTTTTAGTGAGATGCAATCTCACTTGGGTTTCCTTTTGTTGTTTTTTATTTTCTTTTGTTGCTGTTGCCTTTTTGTCAGAATCAAAACAGTATCATTGAGTCTGACCTCAAATAGCTTCCAGTCTATGTTTGCTTCTGGAGTTTCATGGTTTCCAGTCTTACACTCAGTCATTAGTTCATTTTGGATAATTTTTGTATGAGGTGTAAGATAATGGTCCAGTCTCATGCTTTTGCTTATGGCTGTGCAATTTCGCCAACACCATTTACTGATGAGACTATCCTTTCTCCAGTGTGTATGCTTGGCTCCTCTGTCATAAATTAACTGACCATATATGGGTTTATTTCTAAGCTCTAATCTGTTCCACTGACCTGTGTGTCTGTTCTTATTCCAGTAACCTTGTTTTCATCGCTACAGCTTTGTAAGTTTGAAGTCAGTAAGTGTGATGCCTTCGGCATTGTTCTTTCTCAAGATGCTTTGCCATGACCAAAAACTTTTAAACCTTAAGGGATACGTGTTTACCTTAAACATCAACTTGCCTGGCTTTTCTTTCCTACCTCTAACTGGACCTTTTTTCTGATTTCTATGAGTTCTTTCTGATGTACACTACACACATACTAATTTGTGAATTTAACTTAGGATTCAGCATTAGCACCTAACATCAATT